TTATCCCCAAAGAGCATTTAACAAACATCATCATAAAGTGCTCTCAACAATTGCAAGGCGTGCACATCAAACATGACATCGGCTGGCTGGATAACAACTTTTATTCTTCGCAGTAAACCGGTCCCTTCTGGCCCAAATCTCCTGATATTGACCCAACGCACCAGACAATGTCAGGCTGCATTGCTTCATTTGCCTTTTTCTCCGTTCGAGAAAGTACGGAGGTGGAGAGATGTTAACTACCTCACCTGGTATGCAGGAGCGCATGGGTTCGATCCCAACCCCCGATGTCTACTGTATATTTGGATTTTGCGTTTTTCCCTCCGGGCGCGTGGATTTTTCTCCGTTCTCCGGTTTTTAACTCCACATTTAGAATCATGCAGTTATGGTATTTGGCTGCTATAAATTTCCACACGATAAGCCACTTCGTTGAGCTCTCGTTTTGTGGCCAGGTCCCTTCTGAAAAAGAGCTACATAGCTCAGTGGGCCTTACCTGGAATAATAGTTTTCTTTTGTCTCGTTTAGTTGTGTACGGCGTGGGGCTCTTGTTTGGTGACGGATGGAGGCCCCTGTTTTGTGTGGCAGGGCCCCCCCCCCCATTGCCTGTCCGGCACGATTCCAGGCTTTGACATTCACAAGTAATGGGAGGCGGCTTGAACGCGGCTTACGGTGGAGGCAGCGGAGGCGGCGTACCCACCTGAGTGCTGGGTTACTCCGCGCTGGCCCGATAGCAACTGCTGCTTAATTCCTTCTCCAGCGGCAGCGGGAGGGTGATGTTGGGAGACGAGGGGCTGGCGCGTGCGCCCCTGCCACCGCAGACGCGCGTGCCTGATACGTGCTGCTTAATCAGTGGCCGTGGAATAAAGTCGATCTTTCGTTACTAATTAGCGTTCTTAGGTAAAGGCCGCTTGCGTGCAGAGTGCCGCCAGGGTGTCGGGTGTAGTTGGCCCTTGAAGCTGGGATGAAGTGGGATTTTTATTCTTTGCAAGACTATCTTAAAGAGGCGTGTGAAACTATTCTGTACATTACACATACTAATGTGATCATAATAATGTGCATTTCTATTGGATCAGCACTAAAATGACATGCGCTATTCTACTGATAATTTTATCAATCCGAATGTTGTGTCGTAAGTGGTGGCGGCTGCAGTGGACGTAGGACACGGTGCAGTCGCCTGCACACGGCCATTCCCAAAGACCTGCATTGAATTTCTGACAACGTAACATTCGCAGCGTTTGGTATCCGAACCTCGCCTGGGTATTCCTCCGCGGTGACTCGGCCTGAGATGAGTTTCCGATAAACACTTTTGTCAGCAGCACTACTGGGCAAATGGAAGGTGGCCAGCCACGTGCTGTTTTGTCCCCACCGTTACCCTGTCCCGTGCTGCTGTAGTGCTGCGGTGGCCCTAATAGACGCTCGCTCACAACACTTTGCTCCAGCGGTCAGTGTGGCTGCACGGGAGATATTAGTGTATGTGTGTGTAATCTACAAACACGCCGTTTTGAGCACCATTTGTTTTGACTGTAATGAATATGCGTCGCGGTTGCCCGGCACTCAGGTTTGCGCTTGTTTGCACATCAAAGCCTCGCCTTTTAGCGTGCTCTTGCTAATGCTACGGTGCGGCTAACGACGCCTGGCGCTTCATAACCGCCGTTCGAGGATCGACCCCGCGCGCACGTGCCGGCCACGGCCCTCGGAGCCGTGCTCATGCTTGCATCCACCGTGCTTGGAGTGCAAAAAAACTGACTCGCGGTGGAATTCCCTTCTCCCCAAAGCCGCCGAGTTTCCGCTGGGAAGCCGGTAATGGCCGACGCCACAAAAATGCGCGTGCGAGGCTGCGAGCCTGCAGGGACGGGGCGCCACTCGGCCCCTGCAGACGCAAGGCGCCATCACGCAAACACAGCCCCTTCTCATCGGTGAAGTGACGAAGGGGGTACCTCTCTTGAGACCCGGTGTGCAGCAGCAGTAGTCGTAGTAGAGATGCTCAACGTGTTTACATGCATACAGTACGTCCAGAGTGTGTGTGTGTGCACGTGTTTATGTGGGGAGTGGAAGGGCAGCGGTTTGCGCACTGGGCAATGAACCTGGCGACCCGAGTTCAATTCCCGCTCACAACCAACACCAGTGACGATTATCTGAACCCGTTCTGGGCCTCCCCTAGGTCGACTCTGCCTCCAATAAGTACCTGGTGCGGTGTGTACACATCGCCACAAGGGAGACAAAGGTGGCCGGGCTTGGTGCTGGCCACCCACACCCTCGTGTGCCCTGCCAGCTTTCGTAGGTGCTCGCTAACAGCACTTGACCCAACAGTTAGTTCAGGCTATACGGGGGTCTTTGTATGAGGGAGATTGTGAAGCTATTTGTCTACATGTGAATAGATAGGTAGAGAGATGGACAGATTTAATTTGTAATCATGAGAGCACCAATTCAGTAAGCGAGTTTGTTTATAAACGTGCAACTCTTATAACCTATGTTATCACGAGTCCCTTTTAAAGGAGACCTGGAATTAACTACTGGCACACGAAGCATTTTATATGGGAACCAAAATTCAATGAAATGTAGCAGTGGTAATTTAATAGGTAATACATTTTGGTGTCTGGGGTCACTGTTATAAAAAATTCATGAAAAAGTGTGAGTGTGCATATTTTAATATCCCCTTCTCAAACCTGATCGTCCCTAGCATCTGTGTGTATGTCTGCGTGTATGTGTACGTGTGTGTGTGTACGCCTCTGCATGTGTGTGTGTGTATATCTGCTTGTGTGTTGTGTGTATGTGTCTACGTGCACGTGTAGGTGTTTGCGTGTGTGGGGAGCGGTAACACAGTGGTTAGCACTCTGCACTATGAACCTGGTGACCCGAGTTTAATTCCTGCTCACGGCCAGTGGCGGTGACGATGAACCGGTCCTGGGCCTCCCCTAGGTCGACTCGGCCTCCAATGAGTGCCTGATGCGATGTGTAAACATTGCCACCAGAGAGACAAAGGTGGTCGAACGTGGTGCTGGCCACCCACCCCCTCGTGTGCTGTGCCGGCCTTCATAGATGCTCGCTAACAGCCCTTGCCCAAATCGTCTGTTAAGGCTATACAGGGAATCTTTGTTTCTTTTCTTTGTGTCTGCGTGTGTGTACGTCTCCGTGTCTGCATACGTATTCATACGTGTGTGCACGTGTCTGCATGTGTGTGCTTCTGCGTGTCTGTGTGTGTAAATGTGGCTTGCAGACCATGACGACCCTGTTTTTTCTGGCGCACACTCACAGCGAGAAGTGGAGCAAGCGTTTTTTGTTTGCGGGTTGAGCCTGTGTCTCAGGCTGTTTGCATTGCCTCTGGAACGATAATGAATCCTTGGGAGTGGACGAACCCGGCTCTTGAAGGAGCTGTATTTATATCGAGACGGGAGGCGTGGAGAAGGGTGCATTTTGCTCATCGATTAAACGCTCTTGAGAGATTAATAATGTAAAAGGCATGGATGTGATTCTGTGTTTTGTATTCTTTGGAATCTGGAAACAGATGGAGGTGGATAGTCGCTCAGTGTTTTGGCGACGTGTACGCGATGGAAGTTTAAAAGCATAGCAGCAGGAGGCAGTGTAAGCAGCATTGATAAGCAAGGCTGTGCTCACGACTCTTAGGATGTTTAAAAAGTCGGCGCGTCTACACACACGATAAAATGGGAAGTTCTCCATTGGTTTCTCTGAGCTGGAAGTGGAAATTGCACATTCCCATGGCAGGGTTCAGTCCAGCCATACAACAGCCAGTGTTGACTTTCAGTCACCTGGTATTTATTTTATTTAACCGTGGAATCTACTTGTTACATCTCAAGCTATGTTCTTATGTAACCTATATTCATTGGGTTAGACTAAGTGGAAAACTGGAAAATGCAGGCAGACCTCGCTTAGCGCGTGACCCTCAGAAAGCCGACTTGTTTAATGATGGGGGGGGGGGGGGCTGGTCGACGTGGAGTGACGTCACACGCGTTACACACTGACATTCTTGGGTAAATATAGTAGTAAATACCCCAATGAAGTCCTCATTGCTTATGCAAAAGAAATACAGTAGATCATCGGTTATCCGGCGACTTCGGGGAGAAGGGGGCGCCGGATAAAAAAAAAATCAACGAATAATCACGTTTAAAGTAGCTTATTTTTGCATAACATATTTTTCGGTGTTTTGTATGTTTTTAGTATTTAAAATTTGTTTACTATATGAAATTGGCATAAATAAACTTACGAATACACAAAAATAAATATCCCAATGTAAAAAGTTACCGAATTTACTGTATACCGTACTTACCACTCTAATCTCGAAGACTCGATATTATGGGCTGATATACGTAGGACTACAACAACACTCTTGTTTCAACAACTTGTGTTTTACGATCGCCAGACTGATGCGAACGCCGAATTACACGCACTTCAGGCTGGATGGCCCCGAATAGTTTCTGTTTTTATTACTGTCGTTATTACTCATGAAAATGTATATACGTGTTAAATTGAAAAATGATATAATGTACTGTATATAATATTTGACATTGAAATCAAGCATAGCTACTTTTTTTGTCACGCAAACGGTGCCGATCACCTGACTGGTTACAGCCTTTGGAGCAGCTTTAACGGTTTCACCGGATCGGCCCGGGACCGATGATCAACTGTAATGCTGTCGGGAATGCATCCCCATATATACAATGGTATAATGAACCCTTTTAGCACTGATTCGATGAATGTTCACGTCTCCAGGAACGCATCTTGAGTACTAAGCGAGGTCTGCTTGTGAGCCAAGTTAAACACGGTTTACGTTCACGTGACGAAATGCCTTTTGTGTTTTTCTGTCTCTGCTTGCTAGCTTCACCTTTTCCACATGAGGGTGGCAGCGCGAAATGCACGTTCAATGCTGGACCTTCGTGACGAATTTAGCGATGATCGGTCGTTCTCTGCCGACAGATGTCGCTGCTGGTTTTCTGCTGCTCACCCTGACCCCTCTCCGCCCCGCGTGCCCCTCTGTCGCTGTGCAGGAAAGTTTTCAAGTTGGATGAAATGCTGTCTCGGGTCGAAGATCAAATGAAGGGGGACCCCAGCGCTCCAAGGTGGGTGTATGGCTGCGCCGAGTGTCCCCGTGGCATGTAGGTGTGTGGAGCGAGCTGCCACGGGGCGCCTCGCGGCCCTGGTAAACGGCAGGGCAGCAACCGTATCCATAATCAAGGTTTTTGGGTCAGATCGCGTTATTTATAAATGTGTCGTAACCCTCCACCACCCGACACGGCCAAACAGTAAAAAATGTGTCAAGTTTTCAAAGGACAAATTAATTGACTTCTTTAGCTCACCGGTGTGCTGAAGAGAGAATCAACAGCATTTTAAAATTTGAGTACGACGTTTCGCTGATGATTACAATCAGCTTCATCGGGCAAGAATGGTGAAGCTCTCCTGTTGCTTCCGGTCTTAAATAGAGCAGCATCAGGGTGACGTCATCATTTAATTAATTTCAATCCAATCTGGTGCAGTGATTCGAGGCAAGGAGGGGGAGGGTATTGTAATTATATAGATTGGTAATCATTCAATTGTTATTCATTGGTATTTGTTTCCCTTATAAGGAATTGTAATTATATTTATTTGATAATACGCTTCCAGGCCGCACTAAGCCTGTAGCTGTCAGAGCGATTGAAATTATTTCTGTTTCTCTTAATTTTCATAACGTTGAAGTGTTGTGTAAAACTAATTATTACTCGCCAAGAATCCATTGAAATTGAGAGAAACAGAAATAATTTCCATCGCTCTGACAGCTACAGGCTTAGTGCGGCCTGGAAGCGTATTATCAAATAAATACAATTACAATTCCTTATAAGGGAAACAAATACCAATGAATAACAATTGAATGATTACCAATCTATATAATTACAATACCCTCCCCCTCCTTGCCTCGAATCACTGCACCAGATTGAATTGAATTAAATGATGACGTCACCCGGATGCTGCTCTATTTAAGCCCGGAAGCAACAGGAGAGCTTCACCATTCTTGCCCGATGAAGCTGATTGTAATTATCAGCGGAACGTCGTACTCAAATTTTAAAATGCCGTTGATTCTCTCTTCAGCACACCGGTGGGCTAAAGAAGTCAATTAATTTGTCCTTTGAAAAGTGACACATTTTTTACTGTTTGGCCGTGTCGGGTGGTGGAGGGTTACGACACATTTATAAATAACGCGATCTGACCCAAAAAAACCTATATTATGAATAATATTGGTCGCGAAAGCCTACGTGTTATAGCAACCGTATCGGTTTCCTCAAGGGCACTGGGTGGGTGGGAGGGAGGCTCCTACTCTGGCACACACGCCTGGTGCCCATTGTCTGAAGCGAAGCAGCATAATTTAATATCGCGCCGATCACGCTTTTACACGTGACCCAGGGTTTGTTATCGTGAGCGTTGGGGGCCACGTTAACCTTGTTTTTGAGATCCACCTAACGTCGCCGCAGAGCGGCCAATTGCACGTGAGCTGCCTTTGTGACGACTGTGCTGTTGTCGAGCGCAGCTCACTCTCCATTGGCTACGGTGCACTGGGGGGGGGGGGGGGGGGGGGTGGGGCTCTGCTTGTGAGGTTGTGGTGGGTGTAAGTGGATATTTTGTAATAGATACATTTACGGTGTTCTGAAGATATTGGATTTTCTATAGAATAGGAAAGCAGTTGTTTTGTCCATTTATTTTAATTATCGTTATTATGACACCTATTAAACTGAGGTTTGTTACCTGTGTTTGTTTTTGTAGCACACAATCGGGACATTTGCAGCTAAACTTCACTGGATTTTTCCACACGAGTGGTAAGTTGGAGTTTTTTTTTAATAACTGGAAAATTATATGGAATTTCTTCCATCACAATTGATTTGCTATGAATTTTTTCACCGTCACACACTACACAGACAAATGCCTGTCCACATGGCCCATCCGCCGAAGGCCTTAATTTTATCAAACACTCAGTGGGGGGCTGGTTTATAAGCCTGTCTTGGCATGTGCAGTGTGTGCTGTGTACCACGTGAAATAAAATGGAGGTGTTTCGTGTCATTAAGTCCACTAGTTGTCGTAGCGGCGAGGGCAAACGGAGATAGTAGGAGCTGCACGTGCATCCCGCACATCCGATTAGCACGGTTGGCTACATATGGTGGGAAAGAAGTTCAACATACATAGACAAACATACGTACAACATACACACGTACAAACTGAAATCGAATGGTCGCAGCCCCCTCGACTCTGTCCGTGCAGTCGAGCGTCGAGGGAAGGAGGCTTTCTGTAAGAGTAGACTTGGGGCGCTGAGCATGCGCCTTGTTGAGGAGGCGAGGGCTCTCGTGTGGCCGTGTTGTTGAGTGTTTGAGTGATGAGGGCCTTGCCTGCTGTTTGCAGGCACAGAAAAGGCAACGCAAAACTCTGAGAACGAACAGAACTCGGCAATACTGGAGGTGCTCCTCGTCAAAGTGTGCCACAAGAAACGCAAGGTGTGGCCCCCCCCATCGTTGCACGTCACCACGAGTCACCGCTCGTGAATTTCTCGTGGCCGTCGGCTCGCCGCGGCCGTGCACGCCTCCGCTGCGTGCGTGCGCACGTTCGCAGAGCGGAAAAACTGAGATATCGCGTACCGAACTCGGGTCGCCCTCTCACATCCCCGCCACCTCGCTACCCATGGCTTAAAACCCTCAGCCAGTGCAAGTCACTGTCCCTACCTCCAAACTAAACTTTAACGAAATGAACTGTAATATATCCACCGTTTTTGGTACGGCACCTTGAGATGTTGTCGCGTTCATACGCTTTATAAATCTAACATCGTTTCTGCTAACCATGACGCGACTACAGGCGGTAAGCCCGAGCCTTGGGCCGAAAGTAAGGAAATTCGTACGGAAATCACGGGCATGAGGAGCTTCATAAATCGATTGCACGCATGTCCCTGTTCTTTTTTCACCAAGTTTTGTGTGCATGTTGAATAAGCAGCCATATTCAGGTGGAGTTTCCGTCACTATTCACGTTTGGACGAGCTGCTCACCCTAGCCTAAGCCCCGACAGCGGTGCCATGCTGGGCTTCGCAAGCTCACCGCCGTCGTTCACGCAGCAGACCAGCCTGCTCCGAACCGGCTGCCACCTCGCCATCACTTTGTCTCGGAAGCAGCTTAACATGTGATATTTAAACCGTCACTGTTAGTCGCGTTTTCTTATTTTTTAAACCGTTTAAAGCAAATGTGACTGCTACGTCGGCGTGTGAGCCGCCCCGGCTCGTGAGTGTTGGCAGCAAGCTGGCCACGCTCCAGCGAGTGCGGATTCGTCCACCGCGCTGTATATTATAGGCCCGACTTAGTTTGCCGAAACCAGCGTGGCAATCTGCACATTTTCCCTCCGCTCTGCATTTTACTTGTTAATTGCGCGTTGACCTAAACGGTCATTTGTTCGATATTTATTCCGGATGATCTGCTCGGACTTGGGGGTACAAGATAAAAAAAAAACTCCCGGTGAATTGTGATAATATTCTTGGTCCTTTCGGTAAAGTCACGTTTTCTATTTACGTGACTTTATCGAAAGAACCAAGAATATGAATTCCTGCAGTCACAAAATTTTAAAGTCTGAATTGTGATAATTTTCAAACGTTGGCGGCACCGCCGCCGGGGACGATAGCATCTCTCGCTCAGCAGTGCAGTTGTCAACACGTTTGGCGTGCCAAGTCGCACGGTTTTGGATGCAGGCGCAGCGCTGCGAGGTGAGGCCCCGGGGCGTTCAGAACGAGGCCCCAGGTCTGCTGCGTGGGCGACAGCAGTGAACACGTGTGTGGTGTGTGTGCGTGCATGCGAATCCCAGCGTGGCGACAAGTGTGTAAGGGTTAAGGCAGGCGAGCAGCACTTTTTAATGTGAACAGTGTCGAATGCTGGTGTTGTTTGTGCCGTGAGCGAGCTTTTACTCACTATAATGCTGCTAAATATTCATGTTTTCCCCTGGTTAGGCTCACTTTGAAGAGAGCACCTGCAGTGTCTTTTGCTTTGCTCTTAGTGCAAAGTAAGGTTTAAAAAATATCGGCACCTTGCAGGTTCTGCGTTACCCAATTGAGATTTGGTGAACGTGGCTTTTTCGTGCTCCCCAGAAGGTGATGCTGCTGGGTGTTAGCGAATTGCCTGACCCCGGGCACACGCAGTGTCGGACAACGAGAGACGCGTGGATCGGACAGCCCCGTGTGTACACCGATTGTGCCAGTGTTTTTTTTTATATATACAATCGGGAGGGATTTATGTTTCCAAGCCTCGTGAAAAGCGCCATTGTCCCACGGTATGTGGCAGACGCAGCATAAAGAATTTGTCAGTTGTCTCACCGCTCTAGCGATTGCGGTGTTCGTCACTGGTGGCTGTGAGTCAGAAGTGAAAATTCTAATATTTCTATGGCGAAGATGAGTCTTGCCATGGGAAACCCACAGTTAATATCCCTCAAAGTGGCGCTTGTTTTAGCAACTCGTGAGGATGATTGGCTGTGTTTGTCTCGGAGCAACATATGAGCTTATCTGCCATTTGATCGTGTTCAGTGCTTTTCACATTTATTTACATTGCATTGATTTACAGGTAACAGAATGAGTAAAACCTCAGTACTAAATGTTAAAGCTGTCACTATCTAACTTGACGCGAGTGCTTTTTTTGTCTGAACCAATTAATTTTGTAACGATGCAGACGGCAGTTGGGTTGCGCGTGTGTGTGAGACGTCGGGAGTCGTGGTTCCGTGGCTTCGGATGTCTGCGGTGATCCCAGCTCTCATTGAATTTGCTGCCACGTACAACGCCAATACCTCCCAGGGCCCAAACCTGGCCAAGGCCCCGTCCACCTACAGCCCTTTTGTCAGTTCACTGCTGAATAGGGGGTTGGGGAGTGTTGGGGCGCGACATCCTCTCTTCGCGTGGGGTAGTTTGACCGTACTTCACGATGCCGGTCACTGCTCATTGGTGTTATTTAATTCAAGGTGAGCAATAGCTGATTACTACACAGTCACTCACACAAAGCCTGCAAATCCTCATTTAACTGTTACTTGAGGGGTTAAATTAACCTCACGTGTGTCTCAAGTGAAGCGTGTAATCTTGAAGATAATCAGGTTGAATTACTTGAAAAGAAATGCCAAACACGTGATTATGTTGCGCTGCCTCCAATACACTTTGAATAACCTGTAATCGGGCACCCATTACTTTTCAAAATGAACCCTCCCAACCTGTGCACGTGAGCTCGTATGCGAGGAACACCGCTCCACACCCAGCGCGGGTGGGGGACGCTAGAGGGTAAAGCAGTGTTGACGGTTTTAGGTCGCTTGCCAGCTGCGAGATGAGATATGTGCCCGGCCGAAGAAGTCGTGTACAGAACTAGAGGAGGAGGCCGTGTGGGGAGGGGGGTTTCTGAGCAGTGGAGGCGTTGCTGTTGCTGGAATCGCCGCCTGGCATGGGGACCGCGTTTGCGGAGCCGTCCCACCGCTTGTTTCGCAGCTACCCGTGAACCATGATGTCACACGAAAGCTGCCACCCACGCGTGACGCCGTGCGGCCTTCTCAACGGGCTCGCTCGTTGTGGCGAGCGCACGAGCTTTTTAGCTCGTGGCGTCGGGTCTTCTTCTGATTTTACATTTTAGCCTTGCGCGTAAAACGCCCGTTTGGCAGGCGTTTACATCGGCGGTACGTCATTGCGGCGCTGACGTTTCGATTCTCCGTGTGTTTCTGGTAGCGTTTTCTCGGCGCGTCTTAGACGTTAGCGGGGCGACAGAAGCAGCCTGTGCCCCACGCTGAGCCGCGAGGCGGAGGCACCAGCGGAGCGCTCGCATTGACGCTGGTGCTCGGGCCGACGGAGCGAGGCACTGCCACAAGCCACGCCTGTTGTAGCGATCGTTAAGCAGCAGCTTTCCCATCTCGGAATCGGAGTCAGAATGTTTATTTATCCTGGAGAAATTCGATGAGCTGTGAAGCTCTTTTTTCACAGATGTCCAGTTAGGGGCGAGTCAGAAAGTTACAACGGCAGCTGTGATTGTACCGCATGTTTGCGCGAAACGCCGAGAAAGCTCACGTTTTCAGTTAAGAGCGCTTCTTCAGAGAGGGGGAGTTACAAGATGTTTGCCGTTTCTCTCTGGCAAGATGCTATCAACCGTTGTGTTTTTGGTCCTACACCGCTGCCACTAAGTTTTATTTCTGGCTGTGATCGCTGCTTGGAATGTAACGGGGATTTAAAAGTATATATTTTTGCAAGTGTGTGTTCAGAGAGTGAGTGTATTACACAAGCAAGGGACAAGCCCAAGAGCCTAGCACAAAGCAGCGTTGTGGTTAAACATGTGTTTACAATTTCCTGACGGCGCAGGTGCGCGCATGGCCGTTACTTTATCCGTCTTGTGTTTGCCTTTTTGGTGGGGTTCAATTTCTCGCTGAATATTTTTCTGGGTCACTGGTTGACCGGAGTGGGTGGCACGTGATTCTGTAATAGCAACAGCCCGAAACGAGAGATAAAATACTCGATGTGGACAGGCCAGGCTGAAATGGAAACCCTGCCCCTTTTACGACTGTGCGGTGGCAGCGTGTAGCACAGCGAGTTGAGACGATTTCCCGGACGGGGATTTGACCTGCGGGGGGGGGGGGGGGGGCGACCACTGTGTTTATTTTTCACCGCGGGCTGAAATTTGGCGGTAAAGTTTTACTTGCTCACCCATTTCATCGCCGCTGGGTCGCCGCTAAATGAGATAATAAAACGACTCTTTTACATCCTGTAAGATCATTTTTTTTAATGCATGCAAATCGGCGAGCCTCGTCGTAATTGCTTACGGGTCTGCTGTGCTCGTTTATTTGGAATGCAAAACTTTGTGAATCTTTTAATTGTCATTGTAACTCAAGACGCTGTGAAAAATAGGGCGGGTACATGAGATAAGGGACAGGAGACAGAGTTTTGTACATGGGTGAGTGACTATAGGAGCTATTCCCCGCACCTCCGATGATCACGGTTGGCTACGTCCAGTGCGAAAGAAGTTGTACATCATACATGAATACAATGGAACAGGTGCAATTAGAATATAATATGGGTTAGGTTCAGGGTAGGGAGAAAAATGTATCATACGGGGAAAAGAAAAGGAACATTGGGAAGGAGTGGGCGGTACCAATGAGTAGGCATACCTGTCAACCCCCCTACGTTTCACCCGTATTCTTGTACAGGGAAATTGTCTTTACAGGTCCATACAGCGTACGTACAGCCATTTCAATACGGGCAAAATAAATTGTCTTTGTTTCCCCCTTGTGATGGACTTTGTAGGATAAACGTTGAGATTTATAAGGGCACGGCGTGACCAATACGGTCTGAATTGGTCTGTAATAAGGTAAGGCACTGATAAGGGATTGACAGGTATGAGTAGGGGAGGAGTTCCCGCTGATGGGGGCAGGAGAGGAGGAGCGTGACCTCTCTTTGAGGCAAGGTTGATTTGGAGGTGTCGAACAGAGACCTTGGTTGCTGGGAAATATGAAACGATGCATTAATTTGCCGAATAACGGAGGTTCTTGGGCGATCCGTGGATTCCTATTGCATTCGTATTGCGTGAGAAGCAATTGAGATTTGTACGTTTTGTGTTCGATTGCCACGTGTCCCCTCTCCGCCACCAAAGGCATTACATTCACCACAGTGTAAAAAGCACAAAATTATTTATTTAATCACATCACGACCATGAATCGTGACGAACAAATTGCAAAGGCCGGCGATTTGTGGCGCAACTAAGCGCCTGGTGAAATCAATAATCGCAACATGCTTGTGCGCCCGCGTGCGTGCGTTTCTGTGCTCTTCTTGGCGCAGGATGTGAGCTGCCCTATCAAGCAAGTGCCTCTGGGTAAAAAGCAGGTGCCTTTGAACCCACCGGTGGTGGGCGGAGCCAGCAAGGCAGGGGCGGGGGCGGGCTGCCCCTCCCTCTCCATCCCCCATGGGGAGTTCCAGCCAGGGAATCCGCATCTCGTCAAGTCCTACTCGCTGCTGTTCCGCATCTACCGGCCGCTCGGGCGCGAGGGTCAGGGGGCTGCCGGCTTGGCCCGCGATGCCGACGAGAATCTGGGTGCGTCCGAGGCTATTTATTTTAATTAAAATGTTTAACTCTTTTCCCCCCTCCCCACCCCCCCCCAGTTGTATCCCCATTGTGCTATCCGCGTCACGTCATGAGACCAAGAATCCATTCCCAACTCTTGCAGAGCGGTGCAATCGTTCGTCTGGGTGTCATGTGGATTTCGTGGGCAGCGGTAATGTAGTGGTTATCGCACTGAGGTGACTGATGTTAGCTCGTGGCTGTAATCAGTGATGAATATCTGAACTGGTCCTGGGCCTCCCCTAGGTGGCAGACATCAGCACTGGGAAGATAAAGGTGGCTGGGTGTGGTGCTGACCAGCCACCACCTCGTGTGCCGTACCGGACTCCATCTGTGCTCGCTAACAGCACTTTCCCCAACAGTCTGTTCAAGGCTATACGGGAGCTCTTAGTCTTTGACCATATTTCACCACGCTTGTCGGTGTGGGCTGGTGCAAGCATTGATCAGAGATGTGGGAGCATCGATCATCATCAGCCGTGATCCATCCACTGCTGGATGACAGCCTTTCCTCGCCCCCGCCGCCTCTCAAGAATATGTGATGCAACAATCCATCCATAGTACCGATGTACAATGATGGACTCTGCTGCACTGTCCACTGCTGTGCTCGGCGTAGCACCATGCAAGGCCTGGCTGCATGCGTTTCATATCATGGATCGCACCCATATTCCACGGTCCCAATGCGAGCGGGTGTATTCACGTAACACTTCGGTCGGCGTGGCAGTGTCCAAGTGTGACTGTATGTGAATAACGGATCTCGCCATACACTAGGTTTACCATGTGATGGGCCGCGTGGTGCGTCGCACCATCGCGGTGTGACCGCTTGGCTGTGTGGGCGGCCATGTGCTGCACCCACTGCTCAGCTTCCCGTGAGTCCGCTCGCTCACCGCTTGCAGGAATGGTGTGTCACGACACCCCCCCCGCCCGGGAACTTACGCGCAGGAAACTAACATCCCCCCGTTGCCGCGTCCCCCCCACCACCCACTACCCCAGACGTCACGGACGACATTCCCAGCAAGCGGAGGCGCAGCTCGTGCCACCGGGAGGACACGGAGAAGGTGTACACCTCGGAGCTCACGGTGTTCGATAAAAACAGGTCACTGTCCTCGGACAACGCGCCACAACACTTGTGTAGCGACGAAAGGATGAGAATAGTTGCGTACAAATTGGCGCCTGCTCGCGCCTTTCTCATGGCGCCGGGCTCTTGTGAAGGAAGGCGGCGCTGTGTTTCACACATGGACGTAGTCTGGCAGCAGAGAACAATGTTGCTATGTCTTAATGCCAATTGAGTAATTTGTGGACGATCTTGGACCATGACGCCCGGCACAAAAGATCTATTCGTTTCGAATGACGTCAACGGGATATTTTTACGTCCTCCGTGAAGCAGATGGCGTGTGTTTGCGTGGTTAATTCAGCCGCAATAATAACCAGGGCGGCCGCCAGGTTACCCGCGAATGTCGGCAACCAGCGGCGCACGCTGGGCCACGTCACCGCTCCAAAAACGAAATGTTGGCCACGTTTAGCAATGAGACTTGCCGCGGGTGTAGACATTTCAATTGTGTGTTCATTTTTCGTCGCAAGACTAGGCTGCATAGTAGATCACAGTACAGCGAGTAGGTTCCTGGAACATATATACAGGTAGTGCCCAACTTACGAATGCCCGACTTATGAACCAGCTTCCAAGCAAATTCGCAATTGAAAACTGAACCGCCGAATTATTTTGTTCGGAGGAGCGATCCTCCGCGAGAAGTAACAAGTTTATCAATGCTTCCCTTTTTGTTGAACCGTCAGACATTTCACGACACTGACCGTATGGGGATTTAAATCCAGTGCGTTGTGTTACGACTTACAAACGGGTCTCAGGAGCGAATTTGGTTTGTATGCCGAGGACTGCCCGTGGACATTTCCAAGCGTGCTTCTCTCATGCGTGGGTAGGTTTTTGTTCCTGTTCCTGCGTTCTCGTGCACGCGCGGCTATACTCGGTGTGGGGATGCTGCCTTCCTGGAGAAGAGCCTTTAAACTTGCATGAGGCTTAGGGGAGAGTTAACAGGAAGTGTTTAAACGTGCACGGAGCGGTGCTCGTTTCCAATGGGGTGGCCCTGAGCCCGTGGGTGAAACAGAATCAATGGGGTGGCCCTGAGCCCGTGGGCGAAACAGAATCAATACAATGTTTCACGGTTCTGCCGTGCAGCTCTGCGATGTGTTTTTGGGTTGAAATTCATTGTTGTCCGGCTTGATGTCTTGACATTTCGTTGCAAGCACGTGGAACGAAATGTCGGACAATGAGTGCATGTTGTAACTGGAAAGCACGTCGGAAAGGATGCATAATTACTTCCCTTCAAAGTCGCACGTGTCTGACCTCAGAGGAGCCGGCCTTTTAACCATCAGTGGAAATTCCGCATGTTCACAGTGGGGGTGAATGTTGGCGAAATGTTAACCACTTTGCCTGGTATACAGGAGGTCGTGGGTTCGATCCCGACCCTGACGTCTGCTCTATATTTGGTCGCGTTCATTTTTCTCCGGGTTCTCTCCGGGTTTTCCTTCCACATTTATAAACAACGTGCGTCTATAGAGTATTTGGCTGCTGTAAATTTCCACGTGATAAGCCACTTCGTTGAGCTATCATTTGTGGCCAGGTCGCTTCTGAAAAAGAGCTCTATAGCTCAGTGGGCATTACCTGGTAAGAAAATAAGTGAATAGTGTTATAATCACCGTACCTCCAATTGGCACGATTGGCTATGTAGATCGACTCTGCCTCAAATGAGTACCTCGTGCGGTGTGTAAACATCGCCACTAGTGAGACAAAGGCACCCAGGCTTGGCGTTGGGCACCCCACCCCCTCGCTCGTGTGCCATACCTCCTTCGTAGGTGCTCGCTAACAGCACTTGCTCCAACAGTCTGTTACAGGCTATGCGGGGCATCTTTGTCTTTGTGCGTGGACTGACCGGCGTTACGTGTGTGTGTGCGCCCGCGAGCAGACGGTGCCAGCTGCTGGACGGCGAGTACGAGGTGGCCATGCAGGAGCTGGAGGACTGCCACATCAGCAAAAAGAGGGCGACGTGGGAGACCTTCCTGGAGGGCAAGGTGGGGCCATGGCGGATACAGTGTCGGTCACCTACTACCCGGCCCCCGCTTTATTAGGTCTGACACATTTTATCGGCACCATCCTGCGGTGTCCGATGGCTCAAGTAAAGTTCAGTCCCAGCCAATGCTTGGGCCTCCCCCGCCCCCACCGCCATATTTCGTTTCCATCCTCACGCGAATTGTGAAACCCGTTTTTTGTTTGCTTCGTCGGCACTTGCGGGAAACTGTGGCGGTCGCTGTCAAGGACGCTGCGTCTCACGACGCTGCGATCGGAGCTGTGGCCGGGCCTTGCCGTCACGACGCGCGCTTCTCGTGTCTCGCCTCTGTAAGCCGACTCACTGCGGGCCCACCGAGGTGTTCGGTTCACTTTTCATCACGGTGATTGCACGCAATCATAGCAATTAGGCGTTGCACAACAAACCCTTCGCGCTCCTATTACTAATATTAGCCACGACTTTGAACACCTTTTGAACTTCGAATTGCGGGCGGGAAATGTTCGATACGTCAACAAGATTTCCCCCCACTTGTTCCGTAAAGTCGCGTTTTTGTAGCAGAGCGAGGATGGCGTGCGGCCACAAAGCTTTTACGCCGACGAACCGTGGGCCCGGTGGCGATCGCCGTCGCTGGGTGGCGTGAGGGTGCCAGTTCCCAATCCGTGGTGTGCGTACCCCGGGGGGGGGGCATTTTCAGGGCACGCGGAGCATGCCTCGGGGGGGGGGGGAGGGGGGGTGGTGCGCAAGGCATCTCTCCGTCGTGATTCACGTAGCGTCAGTGGGCACACGGCGATTCCGGTCACGTGGGGGGGGGGGTTTCACTCAAGCGGTGCTTTGGTACGTTGCGCATATTTAGTTATCGTTACTACGTTATGAAGCGCAAACTAAACGTTGCGGGCGTTGGTTACTTGTGCATGCTATTGTAATTTCACGAATGTAATTAATCACCTTGTATGACGGTAAGGGGTACGCGGACAGTAGCTCGGGCTGGTGATGGGAAACACGACGAGCAGAAGGTTGGGGATCGGCTGGTGGTTTAGAGAATGGGACCGTTTGACCTTCGCACACCACGATCTCCAGGCGGGCAAGGTGCCTTGTCAACAAGGCAACCGTTGGTGCCGGACTTTCACGGCTGCCCCGTCTTGCACTGATCGCTGGGTCACGTTGTCTCCCCACCCCCCGTAGCCACTCGCACGCCCGTCGCGTTTGCTCGCTTCATTTCGCCGCCGCGCGTGTTCTTATCTGTGTGCGTTTACGCGTGTGTTTATGCGTATACGGTTGGGACCTATGCGGTGGGGGAGACGGGGTAAATTTCGGCGTTGACTCTTCGGAAGGGGGGTGGGGGGGTGGTTGGCAGCGAGGGTGGAGAGCGGGGAGTCGTGATCGAACTTTTCCCACAACGCGCCGTGAACCCGCGTCTTTGTGGCCCAAGCTGCAAATGGCCAAGTGAAATTTCTACGCGGACTTCCGCCCCTGACCGTTACGGCGCCGCGGAGGGCGCTCGTATCATGCACACGCGACGCTTGCGCCCGAAGCTGCACCCACAAGACGGTGTCCGGCTAACGACAATCAAAGCAGGGGAGCAATATGACAAAAAAAGGATCTGTGTCCCGCGATCAGAACTGCCGCGTGGAACGTTCTGGCGCTCGCAAAACCCGGCTACCCAGAAGCCGTCGTGCGAGAAAGAGTCAAAACTGTGCACACACTTTCGAACAGGGCTTTTGACAGTGAGTGCCTCTGTTGGACATTGGAGTGCTTCGATCGCGTATCTGACGAGATCGGAATGAGGCTGCGTGTTTTCCTCTCTCGTTTTCTTTGTCCAGCTGAAGTGTCAGAGGCTTCATCTCGACTTTCCTTTCCTCTGTTTAGCACCAGGCAGATGGTACACTTTTGCTTCTCATAAGGAACCGTTGAATCAACTGTAACACATGCAGAGCTCAACTGGTTCGCTGATTATAGGATCGGTAAAACAAAACGGAATGCAGGCAGCTTTTAGTGAAGGAACCAAAAGCCCTCTAGACATAACTGCTTGTGCACAGCCTTGCGGTAAACTGGTGAACGCCGCTAAAGAGACACCGTAACCCGAGAGGTCTCAGCGCTGCTAGGGGCTAAATGGCTCTGAATGCATGATAATTAATGACCGTGCTGGCGAGTTACTTACGGTGAACGGCTTGGTGCGTTTTTGTTTTACATTGGAAACATTAATCCTCTCTCTGTCACTGTATGTATGAAAATGAGAAGTAACGAGATTGTTGAACTTCGAGAAAGTAAGTAGGAATCAATACCTCACCTTGACATTTTTCCTTCTCTGTGGTTTGTAACGCGAGGGTTACAAAATAATTTACGCTTTTCCAGAGTGCATTTAAAATGGTCTCGTCTTCGGAAGGTAACTCTTCGCGCGGCCCCCCACCCGGTCCGTGCGCGCCGCAGAAGCTGCCACCGCTCGAGACGTTCACTCAGGGCCCCACGCTGCAGTTCACGCTGCGCTGGACCGGGGGTGCCATGGACAAGGCGTTCACTCCCAGCGCCAAGCCGCTCACTCCGCGCAACATCGTCGACCCCTCCGCGTCCGCCGATGGCCGCAACGCCGCCACACAGAAGCCGGCCGCCCCCACCGGAACCTCAGGTGCGGGACGGACGCCGTTCCCCCGGCACTGCTGCGCCCTCCCTGAAGCTCCCTCACGCTCCCTGGCGCTCCCCGGTGCTCCCCGACACCTGAACCCTGACCCCGTTTTGTTTGTCACTGAAATGTGTGGCGTGCAGCGGTTCACCGAGTCGGATGTTTAAATCCATTTGTACGTTCGCGATGCTTGAGAGGTAAGGTGAAAGATCCCCGTGACGTCATTCACAAAGTGGGCCCATCGTGTGCCGGCATCGTGGTCCAAATTTTTCGCCAATTTGAAAATGACACCGTAAATTGCTTGGTTGGAATGTGCATGGCAGTCATCATCCCCCGCGTGTATTCACTTGGCAGGACCCTCCTGAGAAAGAGTCCTTAGACTTGGTGGCCCTTTCCTGCGTAAATGAGCGTCATTCTCAACGCGTTTTAGATGAGGATTTTTTTTACCAACGTCGTTTCCCAAACACAATGGCAGCAATGCGAAAGTATTCTGAAATAGATTTTCATATTGCCACCAATGTGAAACTAAACACAATTTAGGAATATTCATTCAGCGAAGAACTGATTGTGACGTGAGATAAAAATGGTCGTTTGCAGCGTCCAATTGGGCATCATCAGTGTATGAATGGAGGTTAATGTTGAAGGCAGAAATTATTTTTACAAGTGGGAGGAGATGGAAGTGGACCCTTTCATGGTGGAGATGATGTCCATTGTGCAATTGTTACCGATTAGCTGGGGGGAGGTATGTCAGGTTATGGGCAAGGGGCTTGAGGCCAGGATATTAACTCTTATTTCCTCTCAACCTTTTCAGAGAAGGCGCAGGTGGTGAGGTACTCACACTGAGCAGCGGGCAGGAGTAATGTAACAATGCCTAAGGGAGCGTGTGCGCTGTTAAAGAGGGGGGTGCTGGGCTGGACCGACACGGTGATTATGGTTGCAGAAGAGGAGACTGGTTTTGTTCTGTGCGCTCGCGGTACATACTGCTCCTTAATACTAAAAACTATAAACTTTTATTTTGCCGGGTAAGGCCCTTTGAGCTCTGTAGCTCTTTTTCAGAAGCGACCTGGCCACATAATGATAGCTCAACGAAGTGGCTTATCATGTGAAAATGTATAGCAGCCAAATACTCTTAAACGCACGTTGATTCTAAATGCGGAGGGAGAAACCAGATGACCCGGAGAAAAGTCTACGCAATCAGGAGACCTTGCAGACTCCAAATATACGGGCGATCGGGATCAAACCCACAACCTCCATACCAACCGAGGTCGCAAACATCTCCCCCAGGCCTGCTTCGCCTCACACCAACTGCATCCCTTCCCCAACACGTGGCTAGCTGCCTCTTCCGTATTATCATTTTTTCTTTCTATCGTCGGCTTCTTTGTGCAGGAGTGAAGGACCAGCTGTCGTCCAGTGTCCAGGTGAAGAAGGAGCCGGGGCAAATGGAACCTCAGAAGAAGCTCAGAATATACTACCAGGTGCGCCCCGCTCGGTCGCTGTCTCACCCCCCTTTGAATGCGGCGTCGTTCCGTCACCGTCCTTCACCCATCGTCGGCTGCTAATGCGGTCAGCGGTGCCACGGGCTGTTGGTGTCCGCCAATGTGCCATTCCCTTCCCGCTCAGGGTTTCGAGTGACGCTCAAAGGACCTGTTTTGGAATACCCCGGCAATGAAATCGCAGTGCTGCGTGCATTGCTTCGTGGGAACGTCTGTAACGTAATGTCGGCCGTTGAGAGGAGGGGGCTTGGGAAAGGCACGGCGAAGGAAAGCGTGACGGTTTGGCGAGCGAGAATGATGACAGAGTAGTAGCCAAAGGAGTGAACTTTCCCGAGAGCGGGGTGTCCGCCGCAGAGATGAAATGGTGAAATCAAGTTTTGTGTAGGAGCTAAATGGAGTGTTCCCTCAAAAGACCTTTGAGAAAACGTAATGTCTGGGGGAGGCCTTCATGAAGCAGTGGATAGATCATGGATGACGATGATGATGAACATGTAGGCTGCTTTTATAGTGGAACGTAGGTGATATAAAATAAGTACCACTCTGTGGGACTGGTCCTGAGTTCACTGGCCACTGATGTTAGCCGTGACTGGAAATAAAACTTGGGTCGCTGGGTTGATCAGGGGGTCCGTGAAACACTGTGCCAACTGCTCCCTGTTCTACTATTTTTATTTTACCAGGTCAGGCCCACTGAGCTATTAGGCTCTTTTTTAGAAGCGACCTGGCCACAAATTATAGCTCAACGAAGTGGCTCATCGCGTGGAAAATTATAGCAGCCAAATTCTCTGACAATGCACATTGATTCTAAATATGGATGGAAAAACCAGAGGACCCAAAGAAAAATCCACGCAAGCACAGGGAGTACATGCAAACTTCTAAAATATAGGCGTCAGGGTTTCTAAATGTGGAGGGGAAAACCGGAGGACCCTGAGAAAAATCCACGCAACAAAGGGGAGAGAGACACGCAAAGTCCAAATATACAGCAGGCATCAGGGTCGGGATGGAACCCACGATGTGTATACCAGGCGAGGTAGTTAACATCTCGCCATGTTGCGATACCGGCAACACGATGCTCAGGATCCCGATTTCGGTGGAACTCGATGTTTGTCACCACAATGCTTCTCCTTTCGTTTCCTCTGCTAACCGACCCCTCCCCCACACCCCTCTTGGACCGTCGCAGTTTTTGTACAACAACAACCTGCGGCAGCAGACGGAGGCGCGTGACGACGTCCACTGCCCCTGGTGCACGCTCAACTGTGGCAAGCTCTACAGCCTGCTCAAGCACCTCAAGCTGTGCCACGGCCGATTCATCTTCAACTATGTGGTGACCACAGGGCCTAGCACTTGCAGTGTGACGCGGTCTCACGTCCGCCCTGGCGGCTGTGCTGCTATCGTTGTTTCCCTCACCCCCTCTTGATTTTATCCTCCTGTTCACAAGCGGCAGCTTCGTCTCGCGTGTGGGCCGACGGGTTAACGGCGGTGACAGTGTCGTAAGGGTGGTTCGATCCTGCCGGGTGGCGGTCATCGAAGCGCGCGAGGTTGTAGAATATTTCGCCAGGCCGGACTTGGACGTCGGCCCGGACCGCGCGAGGCTGCCGCATGGACACGACTAATCTGAACGGACTCTCACTTGACCGCACTTCCATTAACCGCGCTCGATCAGACGCACGTATGCGCGTGTCGTCGTTATCTTTAGAATCAAGGTGCGTTTAATAAGAGTATTTGTTTTTTAGAAATATCCACATAAGGCACTTCGTTGAGCTATCATTGCTGGCCTTGTCGCTTCTAAGAACGAGCTCTATAGCTCAGTGGGCCTTGCCTGGTAAAATGAAACATAGTTTAGTTTTGGTGCAGCGTGAAGGCGTTACAGCCCCCCCCACCTACATCTCCCTTATCCCCAAACCACTCCACATTCTCCTCCCCTGCCCTCTGCAGCCTGTCTGACCTGTTTGTAAAGATCCGTAATTAAGTAATTAATTTCGAGCAGCTCGTCCAGTTCGTGTTGTTTATTGAGACTCTGCTGTTTTATAAATATACCTGTGCATGTATAAGCGTATGTTTATTTCTTAGAATGGATTTGTGATCATAGATGTATGATATGACAATGGGTTTTGCTGTACTGTGCCCACTGCTATGCAACACTTAGCCCTGCGGCCTATAACAACTTGTTTATGCGTGGTGGTTGCCCATCCAAGCCCTATCCAGGCTTAACACTTGCTTAGTTTTGGGATTTGACGATGTTGGATGCATCATGGATGAATTCTACTGGGTTTATTTTCATTTTATGAGTTGGCAATTTGATTGTAAGACCAGCAATGATTTTCTGGGTATATGAATAACTCGTGCCTAAGATGAGAATTGTTGCTAGGAACATGGGCATGAAGTGATGTGCTCAGGGCTATCGGATTGCAGTTGAAAGGTTACAAGTAAAATTCTCAATACAATTGGTACCACTTTGAAGAACATCACCAGGCATAATAATTTGTATTTATAGAGCACCTTTTCTTGCCATCAGGTTACGAGGCCACTATGCACAAGTTAAGATGAAACAAATATTTAGAAAGACAAACTTCGTAAACGCGCATGAAAAAATATTAATAAAACAGTAAATACTCACAATTTAACAATTTCCACTCATGGAAATTTACCTTAAGCCTTAATATAAAAGTTACCTGTGACGCCATCGGGCAGAGAGTTCCACAGTCGTGGAGCCTGAACACAGAGTCACCCTTCCTCCTGAGCCTTACCCTCACAATGTAGAGCAGTCGCAACCGTCTGGCATAGGAATATGGAATTTCCACCACTGCACCAGGGCTGCTAGTGGAGATGGGTGATTATCAATCCTCGTTTAAACAAGCGGGCAACTGCAGTATTTTAAACGTGTACAGTGGAACCCCACTTAATGACGGTAATTGGTTCCACGAAATCGGACGTTACGAGATTTGGTCGTTAAGCGAGTATAGGAAATACACGTTAAAGGCTTAATTAGTTTCGATAGCATCGAAAGTTTCACTTTTTCATCCAAAAACGCACTTTGTAATGTTTAAGCAATGGATATTAATAATAAAGATAATAACAACATTATAGACGCATAATATTTAAAGAAACACGGTTAATCAATTCATTAATTCATATTTACTTTACCTCCAAAAGCCTGTTGTTAACAGGGGAATGGTCGGTAAGTGAACCCATTGGGCTCTATGGAGGCAGTACACTACACTACTATACACTACACAATATACTACACATTGGGCTCTATGGAGGCCTGTCGTTAAGCGATTAGTCGTTAACAGTGGTGGTCACTAGGAGAGGTTCTACTGTAATTGAGGAGCATGCGAGTGGGCGCGTGTCCGTGCGCGTAGCTGAATGTGTGTGCGCGTGCGCTTACTCTGTCCTCTTTTCACTTCTCCCCCATCTCTCTCCCGTCCCCCTCCCCCAGGAGCTTATTTTCTGAGCGTGGTTGGATGGCACTGCTGGTTGTTGTTATGGAAATGTGTGTATTCGGTGTTGCCCACGCCACTAGACCATGAGCACGCTCGGCGCTGGGCGGGCACAGTTGGGCACCAGGACATTGGAAGGACTTCATGGTTCCTCTCTTAATGTTTTGCTTTTCATTATTTACGCTCGTCCACCCAGCGAGTCCTCGAAGCTCTTGTTCATGAGGGTCGTCCTGCCAAGTCGTGGGTAATCCCCCCCAATCGATTCATTTACAGTGTTCGGCATTGGTATGCTTGGCCAATCATTACCAGTTATATTGTATGTTTTTTTTAGCTATGGGAGGAAGCCGGAGAACTGGGAGGAAACCCATGCAGAACAGGGAGAGAACATACACACTCCACACAGCAAGGCGGCGCCCGAGTTGGAAATCGAACCCAGGTCCTTCTTGCTGTGAGGCACAAGGGTTACTACGGCACCACCTTGCCGCCCCTTTCTTCCGGTACACTGGAAGGTAGTGTAGAGTATATCGTATGTGTATGTATTGTGTGTAATATGTATGTATATCATTCTGCGTAACTTATGTACATACATACTGCATATAAATATATATATGGATATGCTACGAGAATTTCGGCTGATTTTACAAACCGTTTTGCTCCACGTATGCGAGCTAGTCCCGCGAGTGATTCCGTTAAGTGGCCGGTGACAGGCAGCTAATCGATCGAGATGAGCGTTTACAATCTGTGTGCCCAGGTAACTTTTAGGACCCTTAAATGACACCGGATGAACAGGGCTAAACAACGTGGGGGGGGGGGGGGGGGGGGGATGGTCAAAGAGGGGGCGTGCTCGTGTGGCCACGTCGGCTCGCACGGCTGCTTTGGTAATGACGCTCGCAGCGCGCTGCGTCGAGGCAGCGACGGGCGCATTCGTGACCATAGAATCGGTCCTCCTTTCACGCCTGTGGTCACAATCGTTCTCTGCGCTCTCTGGAAATCACTTCTCGAGCGCTTTTTATCACACTCGTTTATCGATTGACTTCAGCCTCCCACGCACTGTTCTGTCCGACGAGGAGTTCCTATTGTGTTCGCAAAAGCGTTTTAAACTCTTAGCTGTCTGTGAGCCCAGAGCAGATATTTCACTTGTCGGTACCACCCGAGGTGGTAATTCAATCGTATTGGTCGTAGGACTAAATTGGTGCTGCTAACGGTTTGCAACCCGAGGTGGTGCCAATGTCTGCTCTGGTCCGTGACCCACGGGGCAATAACACAGCGTTCATTGCACAGCAAGGAGCGGTGGGGGTGCAGAAAGGTCCGGTGCTGTCGGCATCAGACATGGCGCTGGTTTGGCACTCGCGCTTGGCTCCACGGGAGGACCGCCCTTGGCATCGTCGTCGTTGTTGTTATTTGTCCCCTCGAGGGTTTTAACTCGGCTTGCGTCTCCCGTTCACAGCCTCTCACCAAAGGTGCTCGCATCGACGTGTCCGTCAACGAGTGCTATGACGGCTCGTACGCTGGCAATCCGCAGGACATCCACTCCCAGCCGGGGTTTGCCTTCAGCAGAAATGGGCCCGTCAAGAGAACGCCCGTCACCTACATCCTTGTGTGCCGGTGAGGAGGAGCGCCACCGCTGAACTGCGTGATAACCTCGTCGGCCATGATTAATTCGCTGCCGGATGCGGCCCTCCCCAACAATCTACTCAGCACCTGCACACGTGCTGGTTATCAATGCTCCCCTCTCCCTTCGATGAAACTCATCGGACTACTCTCATGAAGTCATTGTTTTCAGTCTCAGATTTTATCCGGTCCATTTGCCTCGAGGTAACGGCGACCGTATGATTTGCGAGTAACTTTCACAACCATTAAATAACCAATTATCACAAATCGCCATTCAACGCATGTATCGCGATGGTAACGGAAACTGAAAAGAATAGAACCAGGATGCACGGGATCCATGCGACCGGAATCATTGTATGGGACTAATGAGGGCCCTCGTGATCTAAGGCGAGCGTAGAAGCGCGGAGGCAAGGCAACGGACTATTGCAATGGTGGGGTGGACGTGTGGTCCCGGCTACGCCTCCCCGTCACCCTGTTGCCGTGTGCCCTGTGTGTGTCCGCGCGCGCTCGCGCCGCCCGGCCGGCCGTCCTCCCCTAGGCCGAAGCGGCCGAAGCCGAGCCTGTCAGAGTTCCTCGAGTCGGACGAGCTGGAGGTGGAGCAGCAGCGTCCTTACGTGAGCGGCCACGACCGTCTCTACTTCCACAGCGACACCTGCCTCCCGCTGAGGCCGCAAGAGATGGACGAGGACAGCGAGGACGAGAATGACCCCGAGTGGCTCCGCGAGAAAACCGTGCTGGTCAGAGGGCGCCCACTCCCCCTACCCCACCCATTGCCCGCCTGACACTCGCCTCACTTGGTTCACTAGGAGAAGAGCTTTGTCTTCCTCGTGATCGGGGCTGTGGGGACAGAGCTGCGGTTGCAGTGCATGATTTATAGTCGGGGATGGTTGTGATTTTTTTAAATTCCAGTTTGGGTGTGACACAACCCAGCGTCGTCTATCCCACGTCGGTATAATTAGCGCAGAGGTCACTTGAAGTTTTTTCGGGTAGCTCTGTGATCCCCACTTCTGTGGGCCGGCCTCCAACACAGATGGTTGCAATTCCCTGCGAGAGGTCCATTTGGATTCTTAGTCTTGTGACACGGGGCCAAATCGTGCAATATAAATTTTAACTGGGGGAAAAGGAACAACTGATTCAGCATTCTGCGGTGAGTCGACAGCGGTTAAAGAGTCACCGTTCTCCCATGGGAACGTCACTTATCAGCCACTGGCTAGAGGCCCGCTGACAGGGATCCACACCGCCGCACGTAATCGTTCGCGGAGGGAAACGCGACGACCTTAAGCTTAGGTTAGGGTCACATGGGCATGGGACGATGTTCGTCATCATCCGCATGGTCTCGGACCAGTTATGTAAAATCCTATTTTGCTACAGGGATCAGTTCCTCTGTAAAAGAGCCACTACTGCCTCGTAGGACTCTTTTAGCACAAGGCAGATCACAGAGTAAACCGACCCCTAAACCAGAAGTTTATCTCGCAGACCTATTTGCGAGTTGGAACAAACTGTTGCAGCACCACTCTGCAAATATCTCACCTGAATGTGTCAAAGGTTATTCGTTCTTCCCCCTGATTTTTAATTATGTTTTATTTCTTTGCCTGGCTCTGCTCTTAACTCCCGAAGCAAATTGACGAGTTCATGGACGTGAACGAGGGGGAGAAGGAGCTGATGAAAATGTGGAACCTGCACGTGATGAAACACGGGTGAGTGGCGGTCACGTAAAACGGATGCTCGGCTTTCGCGCAGAGTTACAATGTTGGCCAAGGGAGAAGGTCACTTTTGTTATTTTATAAATCCACTTGTTAACTCGGGAAAGCCTCGCCGAGTTTTAAGACTCTCTTTGTCGGAAACGGCCTGCCAGGTTTTGGCAGTAGGAGGTGATGTTGCAGCTGTGCGTAAATCTAAATTGATTTAATTTGAATGGTGATTGGTCAGCATTTCGATGGATGTTTGGCCGATACTAGTTACATTTTATGTTTTTTTTTTTAGCTTTGGAAGGAAACTGCAGAACCCGGAAGAAATCCATGCAGAACAGGGGGAAAACACACAAACTCCCCACACAAAGGCACCCGAGTCGGGAAACGAATCCAGGCCCTTCTTGCTGTGAGGCACAACTGTTACCACTGTGCCACCCTGCTGCCGCCCCTTGGTGGTGGCGATGGTGGTGGCGATGATGCATGAATGATGGTGGTGGTGATGATGATGATGTATGATGTTTGGTGGTGGTGATGATGCGTGATACTTGGTGGTGGTGGCTATAATGATGCTTGGTCATGGTGGTGATGATGATGATGTGTGAGGGTGGTGATGATGTGTGATGGTTGCTGGTGGTGATGGTGCATAGTAGTGGTGATGATGCTTGATGTGGTGATGATGGTGGGATGGTGATGATGGTGGTGGTAATTATGATCGGGATGATGGTGCTTGTTGGTTGATATGGTGCTGACACGAGATTGAGACGATGATGTGCAGGGTGGTGGTGATGTGGTCGTGGTGGTGATGATGATGCACGGTGGTGGTGACTGCCATCTCTTGCGCAGCTTCATCGCGGACAGCCAGATGCACGGAGCGGTGCTGCTGTTTGTGGAGCAGTGGGGGCCGCGCCTGCTGGAGATGGGCCTCTTCCAAAACCTGCTGCTGCACCTCATCAGTCTGCACGACTTCAACCTCATCGGGCAGGCGAGCGTGCAGGCCGCCATGCTGCGCCTGCGCCGCCTACGACAGCGCCACCTGGCAGCGCTGGAGCAGCAGCGAACTGGAGGGCCGCCCCCCCGTGGCCTGGAGGTGTGACCCCCTCCCCCCACCCGCCCTTCCCCACCACCGGACTTTGCTCATTGACATATGTGAGGGATCGAGACACCTTGACAAACAGGGTAGAGGATCAGGGGTCTTGATAGACCAGGGTGTGGCAACGCTTACGTCTTCTCAACGGGCAGAGATGTGAGTAGGTGAGAGCTCCTTCGCTGAGGAGGAGGAGATGATGGAGCAGGTGCCCGGCCGAGCAAAACAAACTTTGCACCGCGGTTCTCAACCTTAGCTGGACTAAGGACCTCTGCAGCTTCTATAGAGCCCCAGACCCATCTACAGCGAGCGCTGCTGTGTCGCTGCTCAGAGTTGGGAGGGGGGAGGGGAATGCTCGCGTCCAGCACTTGGCAGACTCCTTTTGGCATTTCTCGGACCCCATAGTGGTCCGCTATGGGTTTGTTGGACCCTGGTTAAGAACCCCCCCCGCCCCCCCGAATCGGTGAATGCGACTCTGCGACGTGAAAGGCGAACGGGGGACGCGACTCGTCTGCAACAAACGAGACAAATTAGCGGATGAAGCCAGTGGAGCGCCGAGTGAGATCGACGAGTGGTTAGTGCCGCTTGCCAGTGGGGAAGGCGGCAAGGGGCTTGCTGCATTCCCCCCCCCCCATTGCTGCCCAGTGTTTATGTCGAGTTGTTGCCATCAGAGCCACCGTGTGCCCCGGTGCCTCTTGCCACATTTGAAATTGCCCTGAAAATTACCAGTTTTTAGACGTAGATTCATCCCCAGTCGTGGTTAGACTTAACATTGAATGGCATTTGTCCTTTGGGGGGGAGAGCGCAAGGAATGGAGGTGAGGGGGGAGGCTTGGGATGGGGCAGACAGGGGGGGTGGGTAGCCTTGAGTTTCGTAATCACCACTTCCGAACGTAATTGATCCACTCGTTTAATCCAATAGTACTCAGGTGGGAAATCAAAGGGCTGTGGCATGCGAGGGCCTTTATTCATTGCCGCTCGGCCCTGTGTGAGGTGCAGCGGCTATCAGGCACTTGTGAGCGCGTGACAAGATGAGTGCATACCACAGGGCCCTTCTCCCCCGGCTCGTGAACGCCACGTCGGTTCGATTCGTTATAAGATCCGCCGCTGCTGCCGCTGTTGCCGCTGTTGCTGCCGCTACTGCTGCTACTGCTGCTGCAGACTTTATCCCGCCCTTGGAGCGGATGCCACACCTAAGTCGTGGAAATAACAAGCCGCTTATTTTTAAAGCCTGTCAGCGCTTTATCAGTGTATTTATCTGGCACTGCATCCACAGTCCTGGCTTGTATATTGTGTGTAAAATATCAATATTTGGAATGTACGGAAGACGTAACGAGTGCATGTAATTACGCGGAGGTCCTCCTTTAAGTCGAGGGGTAATTTTCAGGGGCAGTGCTATTAATGAGCAGCCATCTGGGGTCAGCGTGGCAAGCGGGGTGGGGGGGGGGCTGTGTGGTCATCGTTACGTTCACTCATCCGTTCTCATCCTCATCCTCGGCTGTCAGAAATCTGCATGCGTAGACGCGGAATGTTTGACAGATTGTCCTCCGCTGTTGTCCAACAATGCGCTGTGTCAAGAAACAACGAGTTCATTCATTCTGTGTCGGTGCACCAATTACTGTGCTCTGTTTGCCCATGGCTGTTTTGTCAGGAGACATTCCTGCCGGCTATGCATTTGTGGTTTCTACATTGCGTGATCCTTTATTGTTTAATGTTATTCCTGAAACGTACCACGGAGTTTACTGCAGGTCACTTGGGAATGTAATCGTGCCCCATTGCAGCGTTCATCGTGGCACACACTGTTCCAGTCACCTTTGTCTTTTAGTTGGATCTGGTGAGAGCCCATTTGGCGCGTTGCAGAGTAACATTCAAGGTGGACCTGGGGGCAATGCAGGTGTGCATAAAGGAGGGTGCCACTGGGTAAGAAACATTGGCAATAGGGATATTTTTTTTTTTAAACGGCATCGCCCATAAAAATAATTCGCGCACACATCGTGCGAGATTCCCAAGTTCGAAACTGCAAGGTGAACAAAGACAAAAAGTGTCAAAGGTCAAGTTTTGTTGGTCTACCTGGGAGTGGGGTGATGGGTGGTGGCGCCTCTTCACCGGTGGCGCCGGGTCCGCGGTGGAAACTCGGCGCGTCTCGGTGCGGAGCGATCGCGCCATGGGCCCCACCGCTGCTTTCGCTTCCTACAAAGTGGTGAACGATTTGTCAACCCTGCAAAGATGATGAGTTGAGTGAACTGCCTAGCCAGAATTTCAACTCGCAAACATGTGACTACGAGTTTCCTGTAGTCTGTGTTCCATAATTAAAAACCCTTCTGGTTGTGGAGAGCATTGTTGAAGATTTTTTTTTACATAACAGACGATTGCGTATGATATTAAATATTTATAGGTTAACGAGACTATTTTTTCCGTGGCTACACCACTGTTGACACTGGCTCCTGAGCTTCGGGCATTATCGGCGAATTTTAAGAATCCTGGGGATAATTTAGTCCTGCTCGGGGAGCCTCAGAAATTAACATTCAACTCAGAGAATCATGAAGGCACCTTAGTTCGGCTCTGTGGCCTCAGGCAGCCGCGTAGATCTTTTATGAATCCTCACGGTTCGTTCATCGGGCTGTCTGCTTGCCGCCACTTCCTTTTGTGTGTGTACAATACAGTAGTTGGTGTGCATGTCAACTTGTTTACTTTGGGATATAATCCCAAAAAAACAATTCACTATTTATCGACGTGTCACATTGACTGAGCCGCGATGTGACAACGCTCGACCTGCCAACGCTCGACCTGCCACTCAATGTACGGGCAGTGCGCAAGGCATGTCGACTTTCTGGTGACATCTTTTAGCTCCTCAATAGAAATAATTTCAAAGTAAAGAGCTGACCGCACATGACAGATGTATCCGCTACAGCTGGAGCACATTCTAAATGACCCGCTGTGTGCACCATTCAATTATTATTACCATTACCAATGGGCCCCACACGTCCTTTGGATGCGGCCATCTGTCCGTCCGTTCCGCCCTCCGTCCCTTCCTCCCTGCCAGCCAGCCAACAACAATTTTTCTAAAAAAGTACAGGCGTCCCTTGCGTCACGCAGCTCGCCACCGTGCGAATTCGCGGTTACGCGATTCATCTTCTGGGGACATTATTCACACTTGCGCTTTGCGTTTCGAAGATACACGCGCAAGAAAAACAACAACACAAAATGCCTAAATTAAAATGCTTCTCAATAACAAAATAATTGTCAATGATAAATGTTCAAAGTAAAAACGAAAAACTATTTAGCTGGTTAACCGATCGGCCCACCACCCTTCACGTGTAGAAGCAGCCCACGGAAAGCGTTCAAGAAGCCCTGATGTTACTCGTTATTTAGTAATCTTTGTAAGTAGTGTTATACATCTTTAGTGATTATTATTTGTTATTAAACTCCTTATTAAGTATTTTTTTGTAATATAAGTATTACATTTATATTTTATGGGTCTTTCGGTAAAGCCACCTAGATAGAATATCAGGACGTTTCGATCGCAACACAAGCAATCATCTTCAGGTGAAAAATGTTTTATGCTTATTTTGTAAATCCAGGGCAAAAATAAAGAAATGAAATAAAACTATAAACTATTTTGATTTTACCAGGTAAGGCCCCCACTGAGCTATATAGCTCGTTTTCAGAAGCGACCTGGCCACAAATGATAGCTCAATGAAGTGGCTTATCGTGTGGACATTAAAAGCAGCAGCCAAATACTCAAAACGCGTGGTGATGTTGATTCTAAATGGGGAGGGAAAAACCAGAGGACCCGGAGAAAAATCCACGCGACTACGGGGAGAGAGACATGCAAACTCCAAATATACAACAGGCATCGTCAGGGTCGGGATTGAACCCAGGAACTCCTGTATCCCAGGCGAGGTCGTTCACATCTCGCCACCATGGCACCCCAAAATTATACTTAATTTTTCTTCGGTAACGCAACCCCCCCCCTTGTAACATGTATGTCTATGGAAAAATAGGCTTCATAAGTGCGATTCAACTTATGCGCTGTTTTTGAGGAACACATGTCGCACAATATGTGAGGGATGCCTGTGTATGATATGATCGTATGAATCCCGCGCAAATGCGTGGGATCCACGGCTGGGGTGGGGTGGGGGTGGGTTGGTGACATCACCCGCACGCATGCGGTTATGTTACAGCCAGTCAGGAATGTAGGCAGGAGCCAGCTAGCCAACAATTTTATTTTTCTAATATAGTATGATGTGTTTGACTGGGTGCGATGTTCAACGCATAAACAGATACTGTAAAGGTTATACATTGAACATGTTTGTATACATCGTATCAGTCTGCGTTTGCTATGCACTAGTAACTTGACACCATGGAAACCACCCTTGCAAACGAGATGTTTCCATCTCAAGGGATCTCCAGGTGAGGTACATCACTTGACGACAACCAGGAGTTTGCGGCGCAGCGAGGGCTCGCCAAGCCTTCGCCGACGCACCGTGGGGCCCACCGGTGCTGTGCGTACATAGCCACAAAGCGGCGGTATAGGGAGAGAGGTCTGCAGGAAGAAATGTCCCCGAGTGCTTCCCAGGCAGGGATCGAGGGCGCTCGGGATGGTGCGGTTCGCCCCGTGCGGTCGCAGCCGGGGCTTGCTCCGAATTGCGTTTACAAACACGATGGGGGGGGGGTCGGTCTTCCTTTTGTGCCCCGGGTGAATGCGGAGACGCGCTCAAGGCCTGAGGCCCTGATGTGCACAGCAGCCACACGAGGGAAGGTGTGGCCGGCTCCTGCTCTCACCAGGCCACCCTTTTATTTATCGCAACCACTGCAACAGCTGCTTCCGTCAGGCCGAGTTAACCTCGGATTGGTGCACTCGGCACCAAATCACCTCCCCCATAGTTACACGAGAAGCAGGGAAAATGAATTGGTAACTGGGTAATCTGGGTGCCAAATCTTGCACTCATTGCTTCGTTAAGGAGCCGCTTATTGCTACATCAGGGAAATGTTCGTCTGTCCCAAGGACACTTTACACGCATTTACAAACATTTCAAAATGCATAAAAAGTTGCCACGAAACTTACCACACCCCCGCCTGTTATGTTCTGGGCTAGTAGAGGGACAATGTTTTGCGCTAGAGTAACACTGAAAACATTAATTCGATTAAATATAATAACGGTTTGCTGTGTCACAGATTGGTTGGCGCGCGCGAGCCAGCTATAAAACTCGCAAACGTTTTTTCTTCTCCGCAGTCGAATCCTGCAGCTAAATGTGAGGCTCCGTTAGTGACCTGGCCTGCCAGCTGGTGAGCCTTCTCTAGTTGCCTCTGGTGCAGCTTGTCTTACCTCATTAGTGCATTGCGGCTTGGGGTTTCAAATTGCACCTGATATGAGAATTAAACAGCACTGGGTAAAGGGGCGGCCGTAAGACAAACGCCAGCGGTCGTTCTCTGCCCTCAGGACTCTGCTCTTGAAGATAAAGTTAATAATTGAGTGCATTTGGTATTGGTGCCTTTCGTACAACAGAAGGCTATCACGAAGGTGCTGTGTTTCACACGTGAGTATAGTCTGCCTGGGAGGGGATGATGATGCTGCTGTGCGTGATTTTTATCGAGTCGAGTAATTTTTCACATTTGACGAATTTAGATCGCGACGCTGGCACACGTGCCCTACTGTTTATCTAATGACATCACGGGGTTGTTAACGTCCACTGCCGAGTGGACAACCGTAGCATTCACGGCTAACATTCGTTTGGCGAGAGAGAGAGTAATCGGCGAGTCATGCGGCAGCGCCCTCGCTGGCCTTGTGTGGTTCCCGTAGACCTCCGCTGAACGTAGTGGACAGTCGTCGACAATGCGCGTGACCTTGCTTGTACGGTGCCATGGCTGCTGTGTTGTGGGTTGTCACGAAGACCCCAACAGGGCAGGTTGGTCTGCACAGAGACCTTGCCCTGTGTCCGGAAGCTTGTTCAGCAGGGCCCACTGATGGCGTGGCAGGTTGAAGCTAGGTGGGTGGACTGTGGGATCCGCGATGAGGAACCGGTTTGGCGCTAACGTTGCCCTGTTGACGTGTTTGTAGACTTTTGTATGTACGTTTTCTTTCGCACCATATGTAGCAAACCGTGCTAATCAGAGGTGCTGCACCTGTTGATATTCTCACCAAGAGGGCCCTGGCAGAGGCTGCCACCACTGCCACACGACGCGTGTATCCATTTTAAAGCGTCAAGTTCGGACGCGTATCAGCTGGGTTTCGTGCATCTCTCGTCAATCATGCTGCTGCTACCTGCATTGGCAGTGGTGCACAAGCACAAATAAGCCAAAAAAATATATCAATACATTTGTCAATAGCACTGTGTGGCCTTCAAAAGGAAAAGTATATAATCGGTGATGTTTCTGGCGACGGCCGTTCTACATTGCACATTAAGCGAGGCCATCGATATCCAGTCACACGCTTCGGGGAGATGTGTGGTGAATTTCTGAAAGATTTTGTCGATCGTGTCCGCGCACACAAACGTTCATCTGAAGCTGCAGGGCAGCGCCGGCCTGTTGCGAGCGCTTAACTGGGCGACGGTCCCAGGGGCCCTATCGCTGCTGCTCGGGTCCCAGTCTTCACTGCTGCTTGACGATGCTTTAAACATAATCGCTCGGGTTCCGAAATTCACAAAGGGCTTTTCCCCCCTCCTTCCCTACCCCCACCTCCACCCCACCACCTCCCGACAATGAACCACTCTTCCCCCTGCCACCAAGGGCTCGTCGGTTGCCGGGGAGACGGTATCCACGGAAACGGAGAAGAGCAGCCCCTCTCCGGCGCCGCCGCCTCCGTCGCCGTCGGAGGGCAGCGGCTGCCCCTCGCCCGACGCCGACCCCTGCACCGCTGCGTCGCCCGAAGGCAGCGGAGACTCGGTGGGGCCGGAACGCAGCTAGTGCCGCCGAGGCACACGGCAACGACGATGTCGCCGGTGACGGGGCCGTGTTGAGGGTGGGGGCTGGGGGGGGGGGCGGCAACCGCAGGCACTGGACCACCGAGACACGGGGGAGGGGGTGTGCGACGACGGACGCGGAGCCGACACCCCGGCCGTGACCCCTGAGAGGAGAGTGGTCAAAACCGGATTGTATCGGTCCTCGTGGATTTCTGGGATGTGGTGGGGGGGAGATGGGGGACGGATGTTCCTTTTTTATCGTTGTGTTTTAATGCGAGTTATTGTTTTTGTTGTCACCTTTCAACAGAGAGTAAAATATAGGAGGAAAACAGGAGAGGTGTAAAACTGCCCCACGTTTTCCCTTGGGTCTGCTTGAGACGAGCGTTGTTCACTCAAGGAGGTGGCGGGCTAAGGCAAATTCAGGGCAACTGTGGCCCACAATAGTTGACGCGTAATTTTATGTTCCAAACAATTCAGTGGCCCAGATCTGGACAAATCGGATCAGTGTTTCCGCCTGTGGGTGAGACCGGGATGGCAGGTGGAGTTCACATTACTACCCAAGGTTGTGTGCTCTGTAGACCAACAATTTTTCATTGAACGTGCTATTAAACAAACTCTTGTTTTCATTGACTGTTCATTGACTATATAATTTTAAGGCAGTTGCGCAAAGTAAATATGTTGCTCGTGATAACTCTTGGCAACAGTTGCCCTAAAGCTGTCCTAGTGTGTCATGGCCTTAATGTTTATGAGTTGAAAGTGGGAGGGGGGGGGTGGTCACGATGACACGGGCGGGTTTGCGATGGTGCTCTCTTTATCTCTCTCAGTGCTGTGTTCTCGGAGGAAATTAAATGGCGAGGGCAGAATGAGCGATGCTAATCGGCGTCGCTTCTCGTCCGATGACACGGTGTGATCTCCCTGATTGGCCACATTGAGACGTCGTGCTCCCAAGAGGTCCACGAGCGTGACAACTGGGAGGGGGTCGCCCTCCGTAATGCCTCACCGCTCCACCCTAACTTTGTTTTTGCCAATCAAGGGACGTTTTACATCCTTTCAAAATTGTGTCACGGTGAAATGAATTGGCTAAGGCTACCGTGAGCGCAGACTTCGAATTCCGTGCTGCAGCCTTCGAATTCCCGTGCTGCAGCCTTCGAATTCCGTGCTGCAGCTTTGTCGCCGCGGCAACGTGTCCCGGGGGGGGGGGGGGGGGGTCTGAGGCTCGCACCGCCCGATGCCGTTGTACCTGGAGACCAACGTTGTGTGGCATTCCCAAGTGGAAGTGCCTTGGTCATGTCGCACTGCTTAAACACAAATTCAAAGGTAGGGTGGTGAAGTTGTGTGGGGTATTGCATCTTAATTCTCCTACGTGGCCACATCGATTTAGCCCTGGGGGGGGTCGCTCCGTGTCGATGACCGTTACAGCGCCTCGTCTGCCTGTCGGACGCTTAAGAGGCGGGGGGGGCGCCCTCGACTTCAATGAAATCAGTTTTTTTTTAAAGTGCGAGTCACATGCTGCTGTTGAAAAACAAAAACAAAGCCTTTCCCAATAATTTATTCACGCTCACGTGTGCTCCACACTGGCTTGTTACTTGAAAACCTGAAATTCCCGCGCGTCATGGTGGGGTTGGGAGGCTGCGCGCTCGTCGCCCCAACTCTTGGGCGCAGCTCCCACCGGCCGTGCGTTCGCCATAGCCGACGATTGGTGCTGTGTGTCCCGGCAAAACCGCTCCACTGAAGCTGCTCGCCTTCGGCTGAGCGGACGTATGAAGGCCCGATGTGTTGTTCGGTGTCCCTCCACGGCTGCTTTCGAAGAAGTGTAAAAAACAGATAACCGATCGGTGCTGCATCGTTATTTGCCTGCGTTGTGCGCATTTCCGCACGTAGTATCCGCGAGCCTGGAGACGGCATTTTCCGTCTCCGGGCTTTCGGTGGAAATCGGCTGATGTTGAAATCTGCGCGTGGAGACGCGGGCACTGTCGGGGGTTGCGAGTCAACGGATCGAGCGTTCTTCCCGCACGACAGCACGCTCGGGCCTGCAGCTCCATTCCTTTGCAGCGGATTGCCTATATAAAGTACCTTAGCAGGAGATAAAAGTACTTTATAAAACACGTATTGCTTTTGGTTTAACAATTTTTTTTTTTAGCTTCGCCGTGGAACTGCCGGCGTAATTTTATTTGCAGTGTGTAAAACCACCACCTCGATCTAGATAGCCATAGTCAAAAGTGGTGAGTGAACTGAAGCACCGGTTTATGAATCGATCGGTACCAAAGTACTCTTAAGATAGGTGTGCGTGGGTGCAAGATAATCCTCGGACAAGTGCACACTCTGGGAGGGTAGGGCAGATGGGGGGGGGGGGGGGGAATGCATTTTAGCAGCATTTTAAGAAGCAGCTCGTCAACGATGCCCACGCGAGAACATCACCCCGCGGGGTCTTTACGGTGGGAGCTTTGTCCATGCCAACTTGAACTGTGCTACAAAACGTTGGATGACGTACGGGGGGCTCCGACACCCCGCGTGGAGGATCTGGTGTGGCGTTGAGCTCCGGGATGCGAGCAAAACTCTTTTACATTTAGGTGTGGTTGTTTCTGGGACTTAAAAAAAAAACTAAAGTATAAATTGATGATGCAAGTGGACCACACTGTGGAGGAGTGTTGGCAGCACATTTCGTAATGTACTTGCGGTGGGATGATTTCACTGTGGTGCTATTCGTGATCTACAGTACGTTCCGTGTTAGTCGTCGTCGTCGTGTGCGCGGTTGCATGTGCGTGCGCGCGCCCCCGTGCGTCACCTCGGCCGCTCCGCCGTGTGGCGCCTTCTCTCGCCCGCCTCCGCCGGCGTGCGTGTGCCCGCCCAAGTCGTCCATTGAACCGGGACCGTCGATAATGCCCTCTTGCCCAGAAGCCAAATTGAGATTTGCTGCCATCGCCATAACACTAACCGATCAGTATCACGATTCTGAACGATTGCTGCACGGGTCGCAGTCGTTATCGATGTCTCGTTCGGCAAATTTGGGATTCTGCGGCCTGCGCATGACGGAGGGCCGCTCGGTCCCCCCGCTGGGCCGTGGCGCCACGCTATCGCATGAGAGCGGACGTGGGCGACGAGGCCGAGGTGAGCGTGTTGGGCCGCCCGCTCGCCCGTCCCTGCGCTGCGGCTGTCACAATAACGAATCATAGGCAGCCTTCAATAACGTACCGACGCGCGTGTGTTTTGTTATCGAGTGGTGGTGATGGGCGGTGGGTGGGGTGGGGGGTTTGTGGGGAGGGGTGGGGGTGGGCTTCGTGTGGGGGGTGCAGGTGACAGGTGTGGATAGGTTTTTTTAATTGTGTAAAGACAAAACAAATCTGTTGAGGTTGTGATTTGTGTTTTGCCACTGTACCGTTTGTGTGACGGGCGGCGGCTCCGTTTGGGTGCTCTCTGCCGAGTGAGGACGTCGAGGGGCACGAGCCTCTCTCGTGCCTCGGCCGGCTCGCTGACGGAGTCGGCGAGGGTCGCGTTTGCCCGCGGGTGTCCTTCGTGCGGCGCCGCAGCACGACTGGTGATCTCTCCCGCTCGGAGGTGGCTTCCCTTGGCTGGAATAAATTTCACTGCATGTAAAATAGGTTTGCAGTGCTGTACAGTGTGTACTTTAGAGCTTTATACTCGTGAATTACGGTCATCACTTTTTTCACAAACTTTTGGATTATGGTAAAGACTGCCCTGTATCTTGTATGGTTTGGCTATTTTTTTTGTTTCCTCTGGTGCAAGTTTGCTCAGTCTTTAATTTTCTTTAATTGATTCAAGGTCGATGTATGTGAACACATTTTTACTTGAATGTCGAGAGACTTTGAGGAACATTTCACACCTGCGAGCATAGCTCCATTCTGTTGGGAAGGCGCACCCATTTCTGGTTTTGCGGCTCACCGGCAAACGCTGCAGGTTACGGATAAATGGAGTCGGTGCACGGCAGCTCGTGGGGGCGACGCTCGTGCGAGTGTTGCGCTGGAAACAAACGTGGAGCGGCCTGCGAAGGCTGGGCAGGCTTCCTCTCACCCAGGGAACGGGAGCTGAGCCGCAGAGTTTTGATGCATATTAGGACATCGAATGAGCAGGTGAATATGCAATATTAGAAATATTGTAAATGCTTGAAGATAAATCCACAGGAAGAGTAATACCAACACTACTCAGAGATTTCTTGAAATAGAATTTATATATTTTCAAAAAGAAAGTCTGCTCTAGACATACTTTTTTTGCATTGGAAACAAAACATGCACACTTTGTTTTAGCAATCGGTGGCCAAAATTTCACGTTAATTTTTTTTATTTCCTTCGTATGCCGTGGCACAATTGGCTCCGCCAATCAGTTGAGATGCAAGCGTTCGTTTGGTTTCACCGCGCGCACGCACGCAGCGTTATGCATTTCTTTCCTCCAAACGCGGCCGTCTATTTGGTGGGAGGGTTTTGTACGCGCGTGTATTTTTAAGTTGGGGTGGGGTGGACTTCTATTTAAGGCGTTAGTGACGACTCTGGTGACCTTTGTTCAGTCGAAAGAAGCTTTGGAAATTTTTCATCATTGAGACAACTTGGCCGGCTTTCGACTTTGATAACAACAACAAATTCTCCCCAGAGGTCTTTTCACTCTTTTGTAGTCTCTTGCTTACAACTTATGAGTTATGAATTAAATGTATTCCTTCTTGTAATAAAGTTGTTTCCCAGTTTACCCAATGTAAAACCTTTTATGTAAGTTAAATTCATTTATTAATAAGAAAAATATAAAAAAAACTTACAAAAAAATTACTAACAAATTGTAAAAAAAAAAGTCTCCCATGTAAAAAGTCTCTTTGTTTGTCACGTTTGTATTTGTATGGCCCTTATTTTTAATCAATGTTTAAAATTGTTCCAAAGTCAGCTGCAACTTTTGTTTAAACAGCTCAGAAAAAAACTTTCAAAGCAGCCTTTTGCTGTTTCCAGAGGTGATTTACTGTATTCTATTTAAATGTGACGAACTGTTTTGGTACAGTTTCATATCTGCTGTCTGCAAATTGTCTTCAGTTTTTTTTTGTGTAAAAAAAAATCAACAGTAATAAATTTGAGTGCTTTTTTGTACACACAGATTCCGCTTTTCATTTCAGTCACGGGATGAAACGTTTATAAGAGGTTTTTTTGGGTTAGCTCGCTTAAATATAAATGTGTCGTTAAACCTGCCACCACCCGACATAGCCAACTAGAAAGGCTTGTCACGTACCGAACCTGACGAGTTCAGCAGCACACCGGTCTGTTGAAGAGCTAATCCACAACATCTACAATCACATCGGTGTTCTGTACTAGTAACGAATTGGCATGTTCTGTTTACGTGACAAACCTTACTAATTGGCTATGTCGGGTGGTGGGTTTTTATGACATTTAAATATTTACGCGATCTAATCTAAAAACCTCTCGTGGATGATATTGGTTGCGGAGGCCTACTACGTGTTAGACTGATGAAACCGTTGTTTACACTGCCCCATGCTTTCGTTCCAAGTTTTCTGCTGCGACATTTGTGTTGGTGGTAAATTCGCAGCGCGAGGATTTTGCCGTCTGTGCTATGAGGAATAGGGGGAGGGGGGCTGTTATAAGCGGAATTAATGAAAAGTGGTTGGGTTCAGAAACCGTGGGTCGGCCTGGAGCAATCTCACACCTACCACAGGTTGTTCGTTCCGCCCTCGCCGACACGCTCCGACCTCATCACCTACAAACACCATCCTGTGCCGGGCACCCAGAAAACTGCTGCTGCATCGAATTAATGTTTGATATTTGCAGCTGGGTGAGGCTTTTAACTCCCCCCTCGCTGTGGGAAAGAGGGAGGCGGGGAGAAGCCCCGGTGGTCCACACCACAAAACCCATCCACCATCGCAACTGTGTTGTAATTTTCTGGGCTAGATTGAAAACTCATTTCTTTTAGAACTGCTTTGTATTTAGTTTGTTCTTCCCTCCCCGCGGCACCGCCGATTAGCACAGTTGGCAACATACGGTGCAAAAGAAGTTCAACATACAGTACATTCATACACCATGACCCGGGTTGCGTAGAAGCGCTGCAAGGGGCTCCTGATGTTGTGGCCGCTCCAAATGAGTGGCCGGGGGCCTGTGTACTGGGCAACCACTACAGAAGAAGCTCTGGGGGAGCCAGGGCCACCGGCCCAAGCTGCGTGGCAGAGAGCCATAGGTGTCTCAGGTTTGAGGTACCCAAGGCTGGATTGTGGACCGCCTCAGGCCGCGTGCGGTGCGTGGCCCAAGACTTACAAAGGAAGTTGAATGCCAGGGCCCTCAGTGCAAGCTGACCACGAGACCCCTCGGTGCTTAAAGCGTGAGTTGACCACTAGGGCCCCCAGGCCCCTTGGTGCATACATCGAGCGTAACACCTGGGGGCCCCTTGGTACATACAGTGCATGCTTACAACGAGAGCCTCTCGGAGAGTACAGTGCTTCTGTACAACTGAGCCACTGGTTGGCACGCTACAATATGCTGTTACGTGATGCAATATTCACCAACAAGTCAGTTCATTCTGCATAACAGGACAGTTTGAAGGTCATCATTATGGCAAGCCGTTCGTTATTTGACTCGCAGTAACTAGCTATCCTTTATTCTAGCTAGCTGCCCACATGATTCAGCTTGTTAACAGAAATTAGTTGGCTAGCTGCCATTTTTGCCAGCTAGCTGCCCTTGCAACCAAATACGCTGCACTAAAAAGCCAGAACGAGGGCCCGACGTTGAGAGCTTAGCCGTTGACAAATCAATTATTAAAAATACACCGTGGGTTTGTGAAACATTAAACATTTTTTCATACACTAACGCATATGTAGTGACATCGCGGATGTCACTGTGTAATGCCGGCCCTAGAGGGGCTCGGTGAGTGCTGACTGGCAGTGCTGGATGGCACCACACTGCGTGCAGTGCCGACCCCTACAGGATAGGGTGTGAGAGTGCCAGCCATGGAAACGGGGTTACTAAGGGCCATGGCACTCTGGTTGACCCCGAAGGACACGTGACCGGTAAAGTCTACACAGGGCCCCCAGGTGGGGGCTAGGGGTGGTCACGTGTCAGGGTGGAGAACCTGCTAGAGGATTCTAGAGGGTGGTCGTGGCTCAGGGTGGAGCCAGCCACGCCACCGAGGATATAAGCCGGGTCCCCGAGAGGGACTGGCTGTTGTTGTTCATCCTGAAGAATCTACATTCTACGTCCTACAAGAGTCACCAACACTTGGACCTGGACCTAGGCCAGAGTCCGGTCCGTCGTAGCTAATTCCCGTGTAGCGTAGTTAGCCTGGTGGTCCACCACCATAAGTTAATATGTTGGTTTAATAAATGTGTTGCTTCCAAGAAGTGCGTCTGCGACTCAGTTGAACTCACTACACATATATAAGAGACCCAATCCATACTTATAGATTAAGGAAAACTCCATTCATTTTTTCCAGAGAGCATCTGTTTTTAGATCCACGCAAGTAGATAATCCTAACGTAGACATGCAAATTGTCGACAGCTCTTACAAGGTATTTTTCCCCTCCCCATTGATGGGGTGTGGCCTATGTGCATAGTCTCCAAGTCATTTCACTGATTTATCAGGAACCTTTGTTTCAAGCAACACAATTCTCTCTGTGCCAGGCAGGAAAAGCCACAGACGGATGCCTGTTTTCTTGCTTGGTACGCCACAGTAAATATATTCAGAGACTTTTTTCATCTTTTCTAAAACAGCAGCCTTTTTAAAGGCTATTTCAACAATCCCTCTTAAGGGCTATTTTCTAACAGCCTTTTGAAAGGTTAGGGTTATTTTATTTTACGTGCTTTTCTATTTTTTCTTTTGTCTACTCAAAGCTGCCTTTAGGTACAAGTAGACTATAAAATACTACCACTTGATTGTATTTTCCAACAACAGTATTTGGAGGGTGTTGTCATTATTAATATATATTAATTCAAAAATTAGTAAATAAATATTTAGATATGCTATAAATATATTCATATAAATAGCATACTAGTTGACTTAAAGCTTTTGGTTCAAAACATTTATTTAAAAAAAAACTGACGTTTCGATCGCAACACAAGCGATCGTCATCAGGTGGGAAAAAAGAGGGGGAAACCACTAAAGGCAACGCTGTTTTTAAAGGTTTAAAATGGGCGTAGTCCAGGTGTCCTGGTATCAGAAACAATAGCAGATGAGATTCGGGATGCCAAATATTTTCAATAGTTGTTGACTCCACCCCAGACCTGTCAGATGTGGACCATTTGACGTTCATATTCCGGTTTGTTAACAGCAGCGGGAATGTGGTGGATAGATTCCTGGGCTTTGAGCCAATTGAGAGCCACACTGGTATAGTTGAGCAGACTGTGACTTTGATGTCGAGGTCAGTCATATGACAATGCAAGCAACATGTCAGAAAAATACAATGGGCTACAGGCCCACCTGAAACAAAAAAACCCTCTGATAGAGTATGTGCCTTGCGCCGCACATTCACTTAACTTAGTTGGTGTTAACACCTTAGATGGCAGTAGCCCAGAGGCTGACGAGATTTTTTACATGTTGCAGTCACTGTACACATTTTGTTCTTCATCTACACAGATGGGGGCAAGTCTTTCGGAAGACAGATGTCAGACTGACATTAAAATCGCTGTCCAGTACTCGGTGGAGTGCTCGGGCAGTCAACCAAGGTGATAATGAGAAAAGAGATACTCGAATTGAGGCCGCTGGACTGTGATAAATTGGACACCTTAGAGATGGTGTTCATGGCACCTTTCTGGGATGTCATACTTGACCGGTTCCACGCGACAAGCTTGCACCTACAGACAAGTGGCATTGACATCTCTGTAGCAGCACAGCTTTTGTCTTCGTTGAGGGATTTTGTGGCTGGACAGCGAGACCAGTTTGAGGCTTTTGAAAGGGCAGCCTTAGATGTGACAGGTGTCTCTCAGTCATATAAGCACGATCTTCAGCGAAAGAGGAAACGCAAAACATTTGCAGATGAGAGCTCAGAGCCAGGTGTGACACTTGAGGGGAGGGAGAAGTTCAAAATGGAAACATTTTGTGGTCATTGATAAACTAGTGGCATGCCTTGAACATCGCTTGGACACTTACAAGCGTTTGACCAGTCTCTTTGGAGTTCCGTTTGTCAGATCAGGTGTCTAACAGTGACGTCATAGTGGAAAAGGTAAATGCACTCTCTTCTGCATCTCGCCACCGCACGGCGCCTGCCCGAGGTCATACTCCGCTTGACGTTCCCCTGTCGCTTGCTCCCCACACAGTGCCAACTTGCGACCTCTTTTCGACCCTGGGCTCCATCCTGGAGACTTCACTTGGGCTCGGCATCGTCTCCACCGGACTCAGACCCTCCTTGGTGTCCCGTCTCCGAACTCGGCGATACCCCAGTTTGCATCGGGGACGCGTTCCTGAAATGTGTGACGACGAATATTGAAATGACGCAAATTAAAGCCATTTATCCACGAGAGCTAAACAAAGACAACGGAGGGGTAACGGTGAAGCTGCGTGTGAATGTGCACATCTTCATCCTGGACGTACCCACAACGTTACATCGCACCTCTGATTAGCACGGTTGGCTGCGTACGGTGCGAAAGAAGTTCAACATACAAGCGTTAAATTACTTAAAATACTGTACTCCCACTCGTGTACAGTAGTCAACCTTAACACACTATTTAAACCATCAAAATACCGTATATAAACAATGGTGCACTCTCCAGTCGCGCGACGCGAGGCAGTTTGTGTCCAGGGTCGGTGGTGGTGGCCGAGACGCGATGGATGCGAGAAAGGACGTCCGATGCTGGCGGTTGACAACTAACATCGGGTGGCGGTATATTGATGCGTTCCCTTTTTACGCGAATAATCACAATCACTCACTGCACCATTCGACGCGAGTTGAACTGCGGCGAGATGACTCTGCGTCCGACCGACGTTTACCCGGCCCTCGCTTCACAAGATGCTCGCAATTCTGCCAGCCGCCACGGAACCAGCACCGCTGTTCGCGTTCTGTGAAGCTCGTCCTTACACCTCTTCAGTTTATTTCAGTTTCAGTTTATTTGGTATAGCCCTGTGAGCCATTCGGCTCTTGAATCGGGTGCAACCGC